AGAGTATGGAATAGTCTTCCTGCTATTGTTGTGGAAGCTAAAACCATGGGTTCCTTTAAATCAGAGCTAGATAAGATTTTAACAACTCTGAGATATTAGCTAAGTTCTCCCCAAACGAGCTTGATGGGCCGAATGGCCTCCTCTCGTTTGTAAATTTCTTATGTTCTTATGTTCTTATGTTCTTAAAACCAAAACTTGTGTCATTTTCAAAACTTTTGGCCACGACTGTCCATTTTTTGGCACAAAACTCTGCTAAATTTCAAATTTTATTGTCATGTCCTTCGAAGAACACAGTGAAATTCTTATGCTACAGTTGCAGGGTAGGACAATCAGCATTGGAATACAAACAGTGCAATATTGGAATGAGTAAGAACAAAGTAAAGAATATGTGCTACGTGGCAAATGCACCACAGTATAGAAGAAAAAGGATAAGGTGCAGATAATGTGCAGGTTGAATTTTAACAATGGAAATATAATGCAGTGGGTATAGATGTGGGATATTGGCTTGGAGAAAGAAGCTGTCCCTGAACCAGATGGTGGGGTTGTTGCATTTCAGAGGGCAGGAGTCAGAAGAGGGGGTGAGCTTGGTAGCTGGTGTCCCTGATGATGGACATTGCCCTATTCCGGCAGAAGAAGAGGTTAATTGATTGGAGCTGTGGAAGACCTGTGTTGATTATCCTTGAAGCTGTCTAGACAGTCCTTCACAGTAATCTGAGGTCCTGAGCAGATAGGTTACTTGAGCAGATACCGTGATGCATCCAGTCTGGATTCTCTCAATGATGCAGCAGTATAAGTTCACCAGGGATTTGGTTCCAAACTCAAAGCTCTTTAGCTTCCTCAGGAAGAGCAGCCTCTGCTGGGCCTTCATGGGGATGCAGCTGGTGTTTAGAGACCATCAGAGAGAGTTGGTGATCTGGACAACCAGGAACCTGAAGCTGTTGTCTGTCTCAACTAGAGATCCATTGATGACAACTAGGGATCTCCAATGCTCATGTAGTATCCTATCCACCAGGAATATCCCTTCACCTCCATTCACTGAAACTTGACCCAAGTGACATAGGATCTTTCAAGATCAAGATCACCCAACACATGAACCCAGTAACCTACAGCATTCAGCTGCCTCCACAGTATTGAATCTCCATAACCTTTCATGTTTCTTAGATGAATCTCGTCTACTATAGTCCTATGCATCCTTTCACTTCCATCTGTTTAGCATGATAAGCCACTGGAGGTTGCTGGGGAGCCTCTTAATTTAGCTGCTGGATTCTAGACAAAGGGGAGGTCAGCTAAAATACCTGGAGCATTGTGTGAATACAGCACAGATAAGCAGTCCTGGGTGCCAATGAGAGATATCTCAAATCTTTCCCTTAAGAGTCCTTTCCCTTAAGTTTCCCTATGTGTACTTGGATCATCTTACTCCAAGCTATGAAACTGGCCCCAAGGAGGAGGCTATGGGCATCGGTTGTGGTATGAGGGACATAGATACATTGGTGGAATCCAGGTCCGCTATC